CCCCAAAACCCCAAAACCCCAAAACCCCAAAACCCCAAAACCCCAAAACCCCAAATGAGATTATATGGGTTGAAAAATTTAGCATTAAAAATATTAATATACCTAAAGAAATGAATTCAATCAGCATTAACTATTGGTAAGTTTGAAAGCTATTTCCATATCCCAACTGTTTGTCCTACCTGATTTTCACTGCCTCAGCGAGATTTATAAATGTCAGAGTCTTTAACAGGCCCAAATTAGACCTCTAAGGAGGTCTAATGACTAGAGCATTTGCACCTCCTTGATAGTTTCTTTGAGAAATTTATGATATTAATAAATTCATCTAGGAGCCAAACTCTGATGATGGTGTGCCCCATAAGTTCTGAAAAATGGGAAATCTCTATCCTAAACCTTCAACAGGAAGAGCTAGAATTCCATCCTGCCTTTTGGATAATTACAGGACTGTTTCTCGCCTTCGGAGTCTTCAGTGCCCTTAACGAAGATTTATTTAACTCTCTCGATGAAGATCAAGAGAGGGATAGCCTTAGAGTTGAAGACGTCCCTTTTTGCAGTGATGATGATGAAATGGATGAGTATCAAGACCTCTTCAACAAGGATGACCCTTTAATCAAAGAAACTCAGAACAATACTGAAAAGAATATGTACATCGGCATCGACCACTCCATTAATCTTAAGGAGGAGATAGAAACGTTATCTGAGAAAAACAATAATATAGAAAAACTAAGTTTTCACTATTTTCGTTGTGATAAACTCAAGAAGCCTTCGACTACAAAGTCGTGAGAACTTAACAGGTCATTGACAAACAAAGGAATTTTTGAAAAGATTACCATACCTAACTTGAAGTGATACAATAGCCAGACGGAGCCATCTACCGTAGCTGAGCTGAGTCCTAAGAACAAATTGTCACGGAAGAGAGTAAGGTTCCAATAAGTCCAGATATGGATCTGGCGTTTTAAACCTAATTATTACTAGCTAATTTAATAACATCAAGAATTATTGCTAAATTTACTCGCGACAGCCTAATTATTAAGTTAATTTCTCCCAATTTTAGTCTCCGACTCTCCGCTCGATTCCACATAATTATTTTATTAGTGTGTGAATATCATGAGTAAATTACTGCTCCCTACCGAGCCTCTTTAGAGACCTAAGAAAAATTTCAGTGTTTAAATAATCTACTAGTTTAAAATATATTTAAACCATCATTTATTGGTGGCCTCATAGTGATTAATAATTTAATGCCTATTGGAACCCATCTAATGAGAACCTTGGCTACAAAGTTTTGGAGGGCATGAGCTTAGCCTACCATTATATAACTCTTATAAAGTTATTTAAAAGTTTTAAAAACATGCGATGTCACCTAGCGTAACTAGTACAAACTAAACTTGGTTCGGAAGTTCATATATCTATTAAACTCGTTTAAATTCAGAGGTCTAGATCGATCTAGTTTTTATGGGGAAATAGTACTAACTCAAATGCAATCGTCATCTTAAAATTCCAGTCACCCTCCTCTACACAATGCCAGTTAGAGGATGGGAAATTTAAATATTGTCAGTATTTTTGAAGAGAAATCATAGTTTCTGGAAAATATTTCAGAGAGTAATTTCTTACTAAAACTATCATATGCCTCATTTATCCTAAAAAGTTGCATGTTAATCTCACACCAGACCTTCACCTGCAAAGAGAAATTTTGAGGGAGAGTGTCTTCAGGTAATTAACAGAAAATCTGGATGGTGGAGGGTTTCATAGAGCAAAACATTATAATCCTAACTTGGATATATAACCGATCGTGAAACTGCTCGTTTTATTTTTCAAAATGCGGACAGATGACACTCTCTTGAAGTCAATAGATATTTTTCAAATCTGTTGTAAGACTTTCCAAAATAATTTTGAACTAGTTCTCAGACAGTTACCAGTATATTAAATAGGCTGCTATTAGCCTTCATTCATGGCTAGTTTACAGGAGAAGTTCTTCTCAACTGCTCGGGCTTATGCAAATGGCAAAGTTATCCAATCTCAGCTGTGTCAATAGCCTCTAAGACGACTGCTTCAGTATCGACTCTATAAGTCTTGGAGAGCATTAGAAATGCATGAAAGTTTCTTAAAATACTTTTGAAATGCTATATAATAGGGATTAGGAACCTCTTGACCAGAGTTGAAGCCTATAACTAACTCCTTCATAATTTCTATCCAAAATTTCCAGAAAGAGAGAACTTATGACTGCCTAACAAACTAGAGTATAATCACCAATATTGAAATGCTTTAATATTTAGGTTGAAATTTTGAGTAAGATAGCTAAGTTAAAAAGCTAGACCTAAAAGATTACAATTCTTCACAGTTTTAAATGTTGTTTGACACTGATATGAGCCCTTGAGGGTACTTTAGGTCATGATATTTTTAAGAGAGATCATCCTGGAAATAGAATAAGACTCAGGAACTTCAGAGCAAACTCTATTCTATCAGATTTCATATACTTTGGCTAATAATCCACTCAAAACAGAGGATAGTCTTATTAACTAAAAGAGCCTTGGACTTTTTGTGAGGAATATTACTATTTTTTCTTTAGAGAGCCAAAGTCAGGTCATTGATAAATCTTATCATGGAGAATCTTATTTTACTTTGATTTAACCAGCCAAAACCCACTTTCATCACCATTTTAAGAAAATTGTTGAGATATGTCTATATTTTGGGATATCATAATTTCGACAATTCTTGACTGGATTTTTCAAAATTACCGAAAGCCTCTAAAGATTCGGAGGCCTCTATTGAAACACAGAAACTCAGCACTGAATTTCCTTGAGAAGAAAAGAATATTTCATATCTTTTTCTAAACTTGTACTGGAGTGGTCACCACTTAGGCTTATTTAAGGTAGAAATTTGGATAATAAGTTAAGGCCTCAATAATTGTAAACCCTTGTTGGCATATGATGCTTAAAAAGCGACTCGTGATACTAAAGGAAATTTGAGTTTGCCTTAAAATTTCAAAATTCAGCAATCGCATAATTTTAAGAAGTGGCTAAGACTATAGCCTCACCAAAGGTTTATTAAAAACCGTGAAGTCTATCTAGTAATAGATGCTAGGTGATTTTTGGACCTCTGCCATCCGGAATTATCGTAAAATATGGCAGAATACAGCATAACTGCTCATGCAGTAAGCAAGCTTATTCAGGAATTTTAAACAAGAGTTTAACACTGCTGGCAAACATATAAATCAAATCAGGGAAGCCTGTCATTGCAGAGTTATATATTTCGAAAATGTGGCTAACGTTTCGAATTATATACTTTATTATATAATCTCATAGAGGTGGGAAATAAGTTTTCAGCTAAGATTTAGCAAGTTCTCAACCTATACTACCTAGATTAAGTCCAGACGAACATATATGGCAACATTTTGGAAGTACAAAATCTTCACTAACGAGCCAGCATCTATTTTAGCATTGAAAAATATTGGATATTTTCCTCCATTTTCTTAGTTTAAAGGAAATTAAGAGCAAAGGTATTGAAGACCCATGAGTTTGATGCTAAAATATACCTTGAATAAGCATTTCCATTAACTTATCTTGGTTGTTGAGCGAGATTCCTAGCCATTTTCTTTCCATGAACATTTTCAACCATGATACATTATTATGGGGTTTTGGGGTTTTGGGGTTTTGGGGTTTTGGGGTTTTGGGGTTTTGGGGTTTTGGGG